TGAGGCGACTGCAAGTTTTGGACATATCATTTCGAATGCGTTCATCATTTTTCTAAGTTTACTTTGTACATTTGTGGCTTTCAAATCGAGGAAACTACCTCAGAATTACAACGAAGCGAAGTTCATTAGTTTCGCCATGTTCGTCTTCAACTTCGTGTGGCTGACTTTTGTCAGTACCTTTTACGGAACTCCAGAGGGAGAGCATAATGTTATAGTCAACTGTTTTGCGATTTTAGCATCAAATCTTGCCATCTTGACTCTGATTTTTGGTCCTAAGCTGTACATTATCCTTTTGCGGCCAGATATGAATCAAGTGTCGGTATTTAGGGCCATAACATCTCAGTACACTTTCAGGCCAAGTCGAAGATCTCCCACCATCACATCAGATATGATGGGCAATTCATGCATTCTGAAAGAAAATAAATATGTGCAGACAACTGCAGAAATCATGGAAGGAACCTGGCATGAAAAAATCTGCCATGAACCAGTGCGTGTTGCTATTGGCATTAAAAATCTTAAAGAAGATACTATAAAAGCCACGGAAGCTGAAAAAGAAACTACAGAGGGTAAAGAACTGAACGATTTGGCACATCATACATTGGGACACATCAGGGTTCTTAACATGAGAGCCGCGTCGGATACCGCTTTGAACAGATTTGCTGACAACTTTCATGCGCTGCCTTTCGGAAAAATCGAAGGGACGCGAGCATGCGTGGGGCATACTACCGGCGATGCAAATATGCTCATTCATCAGAAACAGGTTAACCGAGAAGAAAAACCGTTCCTTAGTCACTACGTTAGTCTGAAACAATTGCATTATCCTTTGAAGGTAGATGGGGCAAAGGAGAACAACAGTAACTTGAATTTAGATTGTCTGGAGAAAGAGCAGTGTGCATTATTATCCAAAATACAATTGGAAAGTGAAGTGTAAACAAACCTCTTTGAAAAATGTAACTAAACGAGAAACGCCGGAACACTTTATATATTTTTTAATTTTAGTAGCATAACTAGTGACTTGTCAACTGTTCAATAGATGCTCAGTTTTATAGGCTGTTCCTTTCAGTTCCATGCAATGGGTGCATACGTGAATGTGTGATACGTGATGCCATCTGCGTTGAAAATCGTAGATCTAACCTGATCGGCCTTAAAATCAACCGCTGTGTTCAGTTAAAAGTTACAGCTGAGTAAGATTTAAACCTTGACCATTCTACGCTAGATAAATTCCAAGACAGCGTTTTCAGTCGGAAAACGCGAGAAAAGTTGTCCTTCCACTGCAATGCTAACTGGCTCAGAAACTCTTGACTGCTTCCTTATTAGGCATGCTCGTTGGAAGATCTTGGAACCCAGTCAAAAATTACCAAGATCAAAGATGTGAGCGTTTTCGAAGAGTCCCCTGTTCGGTTGGGCTCGGTGTGGACGGTGTGTCTTAGCCCAGAGTAAAGTTCCGTTTTGAGAATTTATCCGGTTTCGAGAGCATATTTGGAAAGATACGTTATCGTTCGGCAATTCATATCCTGAATGCTGTGGATCCTAGGCCTGCTAAGGTTTTTTTTTGGGTATTTGTGGAAAAGGCCTAAACTCTTAATTACTCACTCCCACGTCTGATTTAATTACGTAATGTAAGTCTTATCATCTCATAAAAGACGCCATAACCTGTATAGTAATTTTGTTTGAAAATAGTCTTACCTAGTCTAAGATCTACCCCAAAACTTGGCCAACTCGATGTTTTTTATGTTGTATAGACACTCGGCAACAACAAAGTTGTTAAGTAGCCTCAAAAAATGCTGCTTTAAACATGCGTGTAGCATTAAACAATAAAGACATCGAGTCTTTATGAAACTACTTACGATGTGATGATGTGAACACCTTTCCGCTCGAGGTGACTTAGACCAATATCCATAGGCAAAGCCAGATAGTAAGTTTTGAGCACGCTAAAGAAATAATTAAAGATATTTTTCGTCTTGTCACGAGCATGGGAAAAAGAAAAAAATTCTGAGTCCCCATGAGGAATCGAACCTCAGATCTTTGGATTCCGTGCTCTGATGTTCTGCCACGGAATCCGAAGGTCTGGGGTTCGATTCCTCATGGGGATTCAGAATTTTTTCTTTGTCCCACGCTCGCCATAAGACGAAAAATATCTTTCATCCATAGGCTTTCAACGATTCTGTCACAAGACCTTTGTTTGTTCTTGTAACAACAAACATCGGCTAGTTACCATGATGAATGAGTCGCCAAAAAGTGATGCGAAAGTCTAATAAAGCAGCTACAATCATATTTAGCTTTTTTTGATATCCAGATATCGTCATTGGATTGCATTGAGATAGATAAAATCTACATTGCAGAAATTACTATTTACCATGGAAAAGAGAATTAATTATACACACCATTTATACCGGCAGTCCTCTCAGTAAAACTAGATGTTAGTTATTTAATGCGGTAAAAGCTGTTATCGAGTTTAGGTGGTGAAAAGCGATACTTTATTTCAAATTCAAATTTAGAGGTTATCAGATCGCCATTTCTCGGGACTCTTAGTTTGTTTGTATGTTATCGGCTTTTGCTTCTCTTCGATCATAGACTGAGTTACTCTGGAAGTTTCTCAAGCAAAGGAGACGTCTGAGATATGGGACGAGCGAAAAATGGTGCGCACAGCACTCGACCTTTTTCCATTCTTGTTCTCGTCCGCTGGAGCATTAGCGATCAAGATAACGATTCCTTAGAAAAATAAGAACGGAAATGAGAATTTCACTCAATATGCACAATGGCGAAACGGAGTTTGTTTTATCTTGTGCTTCGCACCTAAAAGTCGAAACAGTACGACAACTTACGTTGGGTTTCTCTACATTCAGAAAAATTCTCGATTTCATAACTTCGTAGATGTCGCTTTACTTCCTTTTACAAATTTACATGAAGATGCATAGTAAGATTTTTTAACGCATTGACAAAATTGATCCCTTGCGTATGCTCTATTTTTGACCGGTGTGTTTTTGTGGACATGCATCGTGACGCGTGACAGTCGCTGGTGCATGCATGAGATAGTTCTAAAAACTCATCTCCCTAACAATGTTTCGTTTCTCTCTTATTTTTAAATCCAAAAAATTTTTTTTAATTGTGCTCGAGCTCACCGCTTTGTCTCATCGATAGAGACGTCATGTCTTGAAACGATGGCGAAAATGAAACCAGCTTAAAGCAAGCTGAAAGCTTTAGAAAGACATAATCAAAACTCTCCTCAAATTATTCCATTCACTTTGAATCCAAATTTTTCGCCCCCTGCCCCAATCTTTTCCTAACTAAAGGCAACGCACTTTCACAGGGTTGATGAGCGGCGTGGGGGTGGCGTCATTTTGAATCAGGCTGACAGTTTCCACGAAATTTTCTTTTTCAATTGCGGATAAAATCAGAAGTCAATAAATGTCGGCGAGCGTGAAAAGAATTGCTCGATCCATCGTATGGTTAGTTTTAATTTGATATAGCTTACATGACAGGTCGATTTGCCACCCTCCCTTTTCGGGCTCGTAACTTTTGTAAAACAAAACTCTTTATTTGTACTTTAAAGAACACATTCGCAAAATTAAGAGCACGTATTAAGACTACCACTTAGCTAAAAGAACTTTGCCGCAGCCAATTTCGATAAAGCAGAATTCATTAATCATTTGCATCACTTCATTGCAGCGGAAGAAAACCGGGCGAATTCAACGATTATACGACTTTCGAAAGATTTGTTTTAATTTCATTGTATTTCATTAGAATTTTTACCGTCACGATTTTGTCATGCATCGAAAGATACCTCGAATACTATGAATGCATAGAAAGAGACTGTCATATATTTTTTAAATACTACACAGACGCAAGAGCGACACTCTTAAGATATTATTTGCTTATGCAAGGTAAACCTGATTTTAAGTACTCTAAAAAACATATATGTATGAATAAAGAGCTTTATATAATTTTCTTCTAAGTGTTCAACGATTATTCCTGGTATATTCTGCGAATAAATTATTTTTCAATATGCACACCTACGTGAATGGGGTTCCTGCAATACATACGAAACATGCTACTCGTTTGACGCATTTTCCCTCAACAGGTTCAACATTGTGGAAGTCGACGCAAGAGAGTAGCCATAATTAAACTGTAATCGGATGTGAGTCATTCAAATAACCAAACAAATAGCCACGAGGTTTTTATAATGACCAATTAGGTTTTCTCGGTGTTTTTATGAAAAACATCTATCATCTGAATATCTCGGTAACCGAGGTTCAAGCTGGCATTCTCAAAGACTCTTACGGCTAATCTTAGTGGTTTTTGTTTCCAGTAGCCGCGAGCACTGTCACCGTAATTGGCGCCAAACAGACACTTTTCCCGCCTAAATCGCACGCTGATGTCAATTGAGGCAGAATGCAGGCGACCGCGGCTTTCTTTGTGAGAGATAAGGGAATAAACGAGTCTCGTCGAATTGGTGACATCTTTCTAGTTTACCATGCAAGTTCGAAATGCGTTTTCATAAGATTCTTTATCAGCATAAAATACATGTACAGTCCTTTGAAAATATCATATCTGAATTATCTCTCCCTAATGAAGGTGAAAATTATTAGAAAGGGGAGATTTCATTGACATGGCTGTCTCCGACTGTCCAAACAAGTCGCTGAGTAAAATCTATAGCCCGTGATGGTTTCATATTGTTTTGTGATCTACGAAAATACCTGTCGACGATTTTTTTTTTGCCAAAACCTTCGCAGAGCAATAATATTGGCTTGCTAGATAAAATGACCCCAACATTTAATAATTGGCTTTTGGTGGTAATGTCAATATCAACTACCTTCGTTCGTCGCCGCTTGACATTTCATAAGCATTTCTTACTTTCTGAGGAATATGTTTTAATATGTACCTCTTTTGTTTCACAAAGGAAAATTAATAATCCCCCATTAAACGTCTCTTTGCATAAGGCGCCGGAAGGACTGGCTAACAAAACACGCGTGTCGCCAGCTTAAAAACTCTGACGAAGTTCGGCTTAAATTATCATGTGTTCCCCGGTTTGCCCAAACAAACTATCTCATATGTGCCATAAACGGAAAGTGGAAACAGCTCGAGTTTCGTGGTCAGACTTTGCGTTGTGCGGTTTCTGCCTCTGAATGGACTCCGACTAAATCCGAAAGTATTTCCTGAGAGTTAAAGCTTCCTTCTTGAAAGTCTTTCCATTGAACAGAATCGAAAGTGACAAAGTTTTTCTTGGCCAATCAGTAACCTACTTCGACACATTTCTCGATCGAAGTCTCTTCTACAGAGTAATTCGAAACATTGATCGAGTGTCACACGTTCTAAAGTCTTCTCCGCGCAACGTAAAATAGAAACTATTGTTTGCGGTCGTATTGTTGTTGAAGTTGAAGAATGCGGGCGAAGGAAATGATGAATAGAATCCTGATCTTGATGTTAACACTGTTTGTAACCATGTTCCCCATTGTGACAGGTTAGTAGACAATCAACGGTACATGTTCTTTTACCAGCTACACGTTAGAAGAAATTTCATAATGACCGCCACTGACGCTTATTATACTGCTCAAAATTTTAAAAATTCAAACAAGATCGTGAAACAGAACTAAAACCTTCACCTTTTTTCATAAATATAAGCCTCTTTAAATAGCCACGACACTCTTGGGGTTAATAACTCTGACTTCTCCGACGAATTTTTAATTCAATATTTTCTACCCTGTATGTTTGCTGAGAATTTACATTTTACTTCCTTTGCTAAAAAAGCGAAGTTTAAAATAGCAATACCCCGGACCTTTGGAAGATAAGTGAGACAACTTTCGATTGGCTTTGAGTTCCGGCTAGAAAGTCAAATAAATAAGCTTCAACTTTTTCTTTTAACGTTTTCCCGTAATTGTCTTCGTTCAGTGTTAGCCAAACAGATGGCAGTTTATAAAACGGGGACACCGTCTCAGAATCAAACTAAAAATAAAATTGTTAACATGTGTACATTTTATTTTTTCATCTAATGCGTATGAATATTTCAGAAATACTCAAAACGGGTCGTGTCGAACGAAGTTGTTGAGGAGTTGTTGAGTTGTCAACTAAGTGAATCACCTAGCTTCTTCCTCAATAGTGCCTAGCTTAAGGCTACATGTCAGTGTTATTTATATTGTAACCTACTTGAACACGCGGGTGTTATTGTTAATTTTTTTTATTTATTTGGAGCGGTCTACCCTTACGTGAGTCTTACTTCCGGCCTAAAATACCCTTGATAATAATTCGAGACTGATCGACGCTGTTTTAGAATCAAAGAGTACTTGTGGACTAGCGAAGTTATTGAATAGGCAATCAATTGCAAGCGCCCCTTAAATTTTATTTTGTTTGTTGGTGAGAAAAATTGTTCAAAAAAGAGCCGTAACTAACTATCGAAACTTGAACAGCTGGTCAACCTTTTCTTGATACTATACACTAAACAAGAATTATAATTTTTTTTACCAGGAAAGTTCCATGCTCCGGCAAACTATTTTTATCGGATTATAACAAAAATAATTGAATTTAAAACATTTTGTTTAAGTCAAAATTTTCTGAAGCCTTATGTCAAAATATTTTAAGTTCTCCGATAAACATTTTGAGATATCTTATAATTTAATTCTTATTGTTCACAGTGCAGTGCATCCTTGTATTGTTTGAAAAGATATTAACATGTGTAGTTTTTTCAATACAGCTATCATACTACTAAGAATCAATTTGATTACAGATATCCATTTGGACATTCCTGTTTCTACATCACCACATGTGGCCAACTCGGTAGCTTTAATTCGTATCCGTATTTTTAGAATTCTATTTTGTATTGTTTTGGTTTTTTAACCCTTCATAGACAATGAAATTACCTAGCAATTAAATTTTTTCTTGAAAAAGGCTCGAATAATCAACTGATGGCTTTAATCCTAAAGTTTTAAAATTTTCTGCGTGCTCCACAATTATTCATCCCTAAATTCTAATTTTCACACAGTTTAATGAGCTTATTTCGAGCCGTTTTCTTCACCTCTTAACCTTTTTTATTTCCCTTTTATCGTCAGCTGACGTTTCATGCTTCTGTAACTCCCCGTCGTGCCCGCAAGCTTTGTGTAAATCAAGTCAGCAGTGTTTCAGCAAACTAGTGAAGGCTAATGGGAACTTTTCTACTAGTGTTTCGTACGGCTGTATTGAGACACTAGATCCCAGTCTCTCGTGTTTGAACTCATCGTTAATGATATGCTGTGATAAGGATCTGTGTAACATGCCAAACATGTTAAGAGGTAAGCGTTAACAATACTTATAAGCTCATCTTGAAGCTCTAAGGAATAAAACTCCTGATATTTGAGTTTCACGTCTTTTCCCTTCAAGTTACTTCAGAACTCGTTACATCGAGCGAATGTTCATGAAATAGCACGCAATTAACAATATATCCGCGATAAGAAAAACGTCCAAACAGTCGCTGTTATAAGTAGACAGGAGCCCATTACCCGGAACTTCCATCTTCCATACCCTCTGAGTCAACCCTGTCCCGTATCTTTTTATTTTTAGAAGCACCTCCTACGGGGGTTTTTCGCGGGTGTTTACATAATAGCCAATTGTAAGAGAGCTGTGGTCCTCTATTGTTTATGTCAAATGCAGGGCTCACGAAAGTATTCCAATTATGCGAATGTCTGCATGTTTTCGCAGGAAATTAAAGAACCCCCCACACATAACTCAGTTCTAAAACTAAAAAGATACGGGACGGGGTTGAGTCAAGGGTACAATTGGTATGGAAGCTCCGGGTAATGGGCTCCTGACGTAGAAAATTCGGAGTCACGTACGTGACGTGACCTGAAAGGCGGGAAACTATCAAACAGAGAATCCAGCTAGCAAAAGCTGCAGCAAAAGATTTCATATTTCGGGCGGTTATATTAAAATTATAGAAAAGAAGTCCCACTTCTAAAATTGGATCATGCTATAAGCGTCACGGTCACGTAAGACAACGTAATTCAGTTATTTGTGCGTTACACATAACCCACAATTTCTTTTCGCCCACTTGATTTTCAAAACATGACTCTTGCAAATTTGAAACAAAAAATTTAACTTTCTTTAGGTACAGGCCTACAACAAGTCGTAAAGCTGGCTACGCCACAGTTTTAACCTTTTAACTCCTCGATCAACTTTGTAATTCTCCTTACTGTCAACCATACGATTCTTATAATGTTAGTTCAGAGTACATTTTGAAATTTTCTTTGTTTTTCTAATACTCTCAGAAATAACAAAAACTCTTCAAAACAGGGGCAACATGGACACCGAGGAGCATGCGTCTAGCGACGACAAAGAAGTCGCTGGGCCTGTCTCCGACAAATGTACGGACAAATGTACGGAATCAACGCCTGCAATGCAAGTGGCCAGCGTAGTCGCACCAAGTGTGTTAATTCTGACCGTGGTTCTCTTATCATTGGGGATTTTTTATAAAATGGCGCGCTATCAGAAGATCCGCACCAGTCAGTTAAAGAAAAGCGTTAAACACAAGGCTTCAAGAGACGGATTAATTAATAAAGTACGAGAGTTAAAAGGTTGTGGTTTGTTGGTGGGATCGAGCGTACCGGAAGTCTTTCAGACGAAAACTGTGATCAGCAGGAGCTGTTCTGAAAATGATTATCGTGTATTAATTGCCAGTCCTCACAACGTTTGAAGACATCACAAAGGGCCTGGGGCAGACTTTTCAATTTGAATGTTAAATTTCACCGCATACGCGTGACTTATTCCCTTTAAAAATACGCCAACTATAGGTTCATTGGACTATTTTAGAAATTTGAATTTTTTTATTACGTATTTGGATTTTTTATGAACCTGTCGATTGGAAAAAAATGGCCATGATGCAAAGCAGATGGCAGAAATGGATGGGAAATATGATGAGTCAGTGGCAAGTTACAAATTTCCAAAGATTTGCATGGTGTAGTGAAAGCAGATTTTTTTACACAATGATACGTTGAGAGTTGGCTCCAAGAAACTGTTATTTAAAAGGTTTTAAATTCCGCCTCTTCGGCAATATTTAGCGATTCAGGTCGTGGAAGGAAAGTTCGCGGATCAGACTAAAATCTTAGATGACAAAACTCACCAGCGGTGCGAAATACTGTTTATTGACTATGAAATTACATGCACGCTATTGGGATGATTTGATGTCAACACTGACTTTACCCGACATTTCGCTAGGAGATATAGTCGGCCTCTAGTTAAAAGTTTATCGCGAGAATCTAAAGATTTTAAATTTCTCACGTGAGAAATATTTGTATGATAAAATGGACCTAAAAAAATTTATAACAGATTCCATTTTAAAATAACATTCGAGAGAATTGCCGGCAAAGTGCTGTATAAAACGTTTTTATACTGAATAAGTTAGGATATTTATCAAATGTTAAGTCGTCGATCGAAACTGTTTTACACAGTTTGAATATAAAACTTAGTTATTTACCACAATTACTTGGAAGGAATAAAAATAGAAATTAATAGAACAAGACATCTTGTCTGTCATTACTCGAACAATGTCATTAAACTCTGTTATAAAGTTCACCGCTAAAATAGCCCTTGGGCAGGTATATGTTTTATCAGTAGCTTGGAAATTCATTTTAATACGCAGGACCCCAAGTGAGAGATTATTCAATAAGAAACAACAAGGAATAAAGACCCTTATATCTGATTGGTCAACAAGTGCAAATAAAATATTCCAACGTTTACATGGATTGCGAAAGGTAAATTATGTAAACTTAACGACGACTTGCACAATGGGTTCTCCTTGTTGAAACATTTCGGCGAATCTTCGATTTCTTCCGCTTGCGACATAGTCACAGGTGAATCGTTAATTTTTCTCATTATTTTTACACTTATGAGTTTAAGCTTGGCGTACCGTGTACTGGGTGAAGATTTAGTAATGCTACCAGCTCACAGTAAATTAAAAAGTGTTGGAAATTACTTCGTCTGCGTGAAAAGGTTCGTTCAATCCGCGAATCGCTATCATCTTACATCATTTTTGATTCAAGGGTAGTTGCAATCAGGAAACAAATTTGTAAGCAGATTACCGTGTTTGGAATATTCATCCTCTTTAGTGTTTTTTTCCTTTACGTGTCACTAATAAACAGCGTCAACACAAGAGAAATTTAAAGATATGTTTTCCTTGTATCTGAAAACTTCGTGGTGGACATAAATTAATGTTGAAGCTAGAGAACTGACTCAGAATCTGAAGCTGAAAAAGAAAAATACAGGTAATCTATGTTTCATTTGTGAATTTCCTTTTGTTGGTCGATTTTTTTTAATTGCACGACGTTTCTTCCAAAGATGATGAAAAAATTCAAACATGTTTGTGTAAGAATTGAAGTTAATCGTACTATGTTGAGCGTCTGAACGCGCAATATTTCTCCTCATCAAAGAAGAGTTAATATAAACACGCCGCAAGCTTTCACTGCAGTATTGGAAACAGTTTTCGATTCATTTTTTGACGATAATTTTGAATGAGCGTAACACGACAGAGTGCATCGCCTTCTGTCTCAAATATTTGCTCTCTTCATTTACACCTTTTAAAAAACATCTGGAATACGTAACGATGAATAGAATATGGAGATCTCCAATTGGCGACACTTGAAAAAAGCTAATGAGTACAGCTCTGTCAGCCTAAATTTTAAGCATCACGTATTTACTGAGCTGATAAGATTATACGACAATTCAAAAGGAGTTTACTTGCATTATTAATGCTTAACGTAACACCACGAAGAAAGCTGGTGGCAAAATAGATCCAAGACAGTTAAACATTTTGTTATTCCGAGTGTCGAATTCACAATCACTTTCGATGAGTGATGTAAAAAGTGATTGTCTCACTCTCAAATTTTTGACATTTTGAAAACTGCGGAAACCAGAATTTTTTTCCTTCAAAGCCTTTTGCGGAGTGATTCATTTTCAAGGGTTGAATTAAACATTTCAAGTCGAACAATAAACGATGGTTAATATCAACAAACTCTAACTTGAGAGGAAAAAATTTGTTTACTGCTACTGGATAATCCATCTATAATATTCCTTCTTAAAATGTAATATAGAGGCACAGAATGTTAGAAAAAGCGCTTATTTAAAAAAAAATTCAATAAACAAGTGAAACAGAGAATTACGAACTTCTGTTCACAGTCATTCTGAAGTAATTTGAAAACAAGCGGCCTGAGGTAAATTTTCACTTAACAAAGCTGGCTTTGAATCTCTTCTAGAACCTACAGAAAAAAATATTCAAGGGAAATCGAATTATGCACAAAAAAAAGTTACGTAATTAGATAGGGCGACTGGAATCTTCGAACCTTCAGGCTTATAAACAATACGTTGACTGTTTTAAACATTCCGCCTATCGCTTAAAAATTAGAAAATCGAAACTACATTTGGACATCATGGGCAAAATATATCATATTGATCGATAGTGCGTTAGGAATTGAAAAGTTTCGAGTTTTTCATGTCACACGATAGAAATCCATTGTTATTTGGCACTTTTCATGACGTCACTGAAGGACATGTTTAACAAAGCAATATTAGATTGTCAAATACCCTCGTCAAAGTCATTCCTAATAAGGGCCTTGCGCAGATCTGAATACTGATGCTAATGGCCGGCTTTTTTAGCTCGTCAATTCCATATGCCCTCAAGGTATAAATTCAGTCTACCAGGATTTTTTTTATCGACCCACGAACATTGGTTTTCCGCATCCCAAAAGACGCAGCCTCGACCAAAGGTTAGTTTCAATTTTGCTTTCTGTAATATTTGGAGGAAATGAATTGCAGATAAAGCTTACTTTTGAATCGAAATAGGATTTATGTAGGTCCTCAATGAAATGAAGATAGACAACAGTCATAATGGCTTGAAATACCAAATTTGTTCAATGAAACAAACGTAATACAAGAGTCAAACTATTGCTACAATGACAAATAAAATTGAGCATTTCTATCAATGTCATAATGATGTTTGCAAATCCACGAAATTATATAATAGTGAGGTTCAGTCTTTGTATCTTGTCAAACATTTTTAGCGTATTTGCCCGTAGTGGTTAAATAACTGTCTTGTTATTTTAAAGTATTTTTGCTTTCAAACTAAAATTTTAATAAGAAAAGAACAAAAAACACAATGCGCGTCGCCTTACGAATCTTTGGCTGATATTTACATTTGCTTTCGTTTGAGCACTGTCTGCCGCGCTGAAAACTGAGGTTCGCCTCCTCTTAAACCGAGGCTTTCTCTTCAAATAGTACCGCTTAAAGAATTTGATATAAACTTTATCATAACTTATTATTGACAGCAGACAGATACCATTTGGGTCTCAGGTAAATGATGGTAACCTGCAGTAACCAGCCGCTTTTATTTTATCTCATGCCCATGAGAAAAACGAACATGGTGTCAATGATATCGAGAGCCAGAATTTTCAGATTTCGGTTAGGGCAAGTATAAACTTTTAAATTTTCGACTTTGTAAAGCTCTATCTGGAATAGTTGCCAATGTATGTAGCCTTCTTATCTCTCCTTTTCGTTGTTAGACGAACGTATTAGTTTGAGATAATTTTAGTGTAGCTGAGCAGATGTTATCACCCGTTACAGCAACAACCTCTGTCACACATGCTATTTCAAACAATCAGTTTGTTATCGAAAAATGCTCATGACTTAAAACAAAAGGAATGGTAAGACCTTGATATAATTTTCGCTATCTTTATTATGGATATTAATTTCGTTTGTGTTCATAGATTTCAAATCAATTTGAATCTTCTAGAAGAACCCATTAACCAGGATCATTTACTGATCTCCGTTTACACGTGGAGGAAGACTGGATCCCGGAACGTCTATTGAGATTTTATCATTCGTGCTGGCCTTCGGATTATTCTCTGTAGCTATGATTTTAGCAATGGCTTTTCACCTCCTGTGCTTTGAAGAAAGAAAGCCGACTGTGAAGGCTGTTTTAAAAAGACACAGCAGACTTAAAAACATTGCCGACTACACCTTAGTGTGACATTCAAGGTATTGATGTTTACCCTTGCAGTCAGATTTTAAAGCAGATGGGTATTCATACGCAGCGCAAGAATTGATGTTAGTGAAAAGAACTACAGGTCCTCCTTTGTAAAAGAAATGTTTAACTTATAACTTAGTTAAGGGTGAAGAGAAAATGAATAAGATATTTTGTATTAGAAGAGAATTTTCATCTTGAGAACTAACTAGAGTACGTTAAATATAATTGTGCTTAGAAGTGGAACCCTTTCATTCCCAGGAGGAGCAATATCTAATTAATTTATACATACAGTTCATTCAATACTTTATCACGCGTCGAAATAACCATCGTTAACAGCGATTCGAGGTTCATTTTTTTTTGTTTTTACAGCATGCAAATTCTCAAAACTGACTAGACAAGGATAAGTGTGAGAAACTGTACAGCAAAGAGAACTCGTATATTGAGACCATGACAGTGAAAGGGTTAGGCAAAGAAAGGTTCCCGTAGAGAGCAGAAATGCCGATCTCCATGTAATTATTTTGAATTTATAAATATTCAAACATACTATTTCAAATAAAGCGTTTCACATCTGATCAAAGTTCTAAGTAATCTTTACTTCGTCGTCATGTATCTTATTTTACAATGCAATTTTCTCAAAGCAACTTTTATTTCTCACTAACAGTTAATATTTACCTCAACTTCATTTGTTTTGGCTATTATTTCCTCTTGGATGTAATATTTGGCATTTTTGCGGAGGCAGTAAATTTTTTTAATGAATGATGGAGGTGAAATTTTTACAGCGTTTATACCCTCAGCACAGGGTAACACGTGTAATATTCTTTAAATGATCCGATCACTCACTAGCACTAAAAACTTGGTTAGCATTATTTTTTTTAAGAACATCCAAGGTTCACTCGTCCATTTAAGGTCATGGACAAAAAAGTAACATGTATTTTAGATGAAAATGAAGAATTAATCCCACACAACTCAGTTATTATCAACAGAAGGCTGACTTATCCTCCTCGTCACAACAAAGACGTTTATCGATTCCTTGGTGAACTCAGCAATTCAGTCTAGGATTCCAGACCCCAGCAATACCAAGCCAAACTTAAGTTGATAATACTCTTGGTTGCCTACTAAACACCTCAGTATCAGGTTATTTATTCATGTTGTCTAAGATTGTTAGCTGCAAAATGGCACTTGTTATTTATTAGAGAGGCGGTTTTTGTTTGCCAAATGGTTGTTGTTTTTGTCGCTCTTCCTGCTGTTACTGTTGCTGTTGTTGTGTACAAATCACTCTTTAGCGTCCCAAGTTTCTCTGTGTCTCTCGAAGCGTCAAACTGAACAAGAATATTCGAAGTTCGCTGCTCTCTTCCTCTCCTCTGATAATAAAACAGACCTTACTTTGAGTGTTCTTCTTTCAAAACATAACAGATGCACCGCTACTGCGATCACCATGAAAACAGAGAATATGGCGGCCGCTAGAATCAAGGAAAAAATCTTAACAGTTGCTTCAGACTCCAGTGTTGCAAAGATTATTGCGTTCTTTTAGGGTATTGAGTTCCAGTAGATCAGAACTTTGTGCTGCGTTTTAAGCAACTGGTTGGCAACCTGGTTAGAAAAATGAATATGAATGAATTTCGTATTATGGAAAGGAAAATCACTGCAGACGTCACATTGTGGTTGTACTGTGAGCGATTCAAATTATTAATGATATCAATGTGAGCTTTCAGAACACGGGTGGTTTAAGAAACTGGTTTGGTAGAAAATTATTCATCGGTTCGTAATATCGCACGATCATTTGGATAAAACTCAATGACCCTCCCCTCTTCCCCTCTCTTCCATATCCTGCTTAAAACTCACAATTTTTCACAAATGACACTACGATAGTAACATTTTTCTTAAAGTATAACATTGTAATAGTTGTAAAGGTAGTCATTATCTTACCAGTTGGACAAATGAACTGAGTTCTCAGTGCAAAACGTGCAGTGTTAGAGATTGTAACTGGTAAACTTTACTTCAGAGACATTCTGTACTTTTTTACAACATCTCTTCCCTAAGGGCTTTTTGGATCAATAAAATGCAGGAAAATTTATAATATTTGTTTTCCAAACAGTTTTTCCCGCTACTTGATAGCATAATAGACGATTCATCAATTGATACATCACGGAACCTAAGATTAAGATAAAACTAAATGGTGCATTAGCAAGTGCAAATGTGTGAGGAGCAAACCTTTTACTTATAGGGCCCTTAAGAATTTGTGAAAAGGCGCCATTACTACTTTTAGCTTAAAAGTTCTAATTCACTGATTTCATTTTACCAAAAAATAAATAAAATATATTTGTCATTTTGCGTTTTTTTGACTTTTCGGAAAAGGATTGGTAGTTTTGTGTACTGCTGCTATATACATTACGAACCAATCAACCTACCGTGTGGTTTTGTAGTCTGCTTCAATATTTTTATCAGCTAGGTAGGATTAAAGCCGGTGTCTTCTCTCAAAACCACTCGTCACCTCGGATTCAGATACGTGCGCGTGGCATTTAAAAGCTGGAGAGGTAGATAGTACTTCCTAAAATGTTTTGTCTTAAATCGATTTTCGTGCAATTTGCCTCAAAAGGACATCTGCAGATACGATGTCGCCAAGCTGTCTTTATGCTACATCTAAATTATTCAATTTGACTATGCGTTAACGCAAGTAAATGAAGTGTACAGGGTAACCAATACAAGCCACAGGACCCGTAAGCGACTACGTCGATACTTATTCAGTTGATTTCCTATCAAATATTTGTCGTTTTTCCTATCTGTTTTTTTTTCTATGTAAAGAGCTACAGTTGGCAGTAATGTCGCAATCTGATCGGTCAATTTGCCGTTGTTGAAAAGAGTACAGATAACGCTGCTCGCGTTAACGTGTCACGCATTGGTCACGCACTGTGAGAATCGCTGTAACTGCTGACAGAGTACAGACCACGCTAAATCACTGTCGATTTGTTAATTTCCTGATGCAAGTTTAAAAATTTTTTTTAAAAAATTGTAAAATTGGATGTAGTAAATGCAAATCATCCTTAAGCTCTCAGCCTTATTAAAATAACATAATTTTAAAATCTTACCACAGGCTTGTCTTAAATCAGAACTTTAAAGTGCGAGTTTTGAAGTGAAGAGATGTAATTTATCTCCAACACCTTTTTTTTTTACTTCAGGCGTTCTTTTCTTCATTGTTTCCAATACTAAAATTGAATTCCGTCTCCAATTCCGTAAAAATCTTGAGTATTTTGCCATTTGATATATGTTAAATTGATCAAGATAAATTTGGCAAAAACGAGGCCGCCATTCGCAAACAACATTAATTGTTCTGTTGGAAGCGCGACTTCAAACACTTTTAACAGTGGTCCAAACTTAATTTCAAACATGTTTGTTTTGGAAAACTTTTGAAATATTTTCCCCTAAGGTAGAGAATAAACGATTTCCGAAAGACAAATTTTACAAAAATTTCGAAAGAGTTTACCCAAAAAGGAGATCAATTAGTTCGCCTTAATCATAATTTATAATTTTGCGAGAAGCAAATTATGTTGATAAACGAATTTTTACCGGGCTTTAAATTAAGAACCTCTGGCAAATTTTAATCGCAGAGATATTACAGAAATTGTTTGATATTCTGAAACATGGTGGGAGCTGAAAAGGCGAAGTGATGTCAAATCTCCCCACGATAAGAAACTTATAACTTAAATTTTCTCCGAAACCCGATCAGGTGTAAAAACATTGAATGTGAAAAACTAAATAGCTTATGCTATGATTAAAAAAATATGGAATTGCGTTAATCTTGGCTGAAGTTATTGAAAACCCACTGGGTAACTCTAAAATATTGCTCAGCGGAAATTTGGTAAACAAAGTAAAAACACTTAAAAAGGAAAGACAACAAAAAATTGCCTCTTTTATCCTCACATTCATGTAATATATCCTGACAAAGATCTCGGAGAAGGACATTTCGATGTTTTTTCCTTTGAAATTTAGCTTTTGAGTTTCGCTTGTTTTCTTGAAGTCCTTTCCTGTAATTTAATGATGTTACAACAAGGTGTAACAAAATAGAAGTATATGAATTATTCACGGAGTGAGATATTTTAGTTTTCATGTTCCCAATTGTTACATGTGTGAAAATAAACTTTTTGCAAGGGTAAATCGTGGCTTTTAATATCGAAACCTTCAGCTGAGATGAGAGCAATTAAGTTCCTCAGTACTAGTACTCCAAAACTGAACAATTTCAACTTAATAGCCGGTAAATCAGACATAACGTGATCTTGCCAGGCAGGGTATTTTCACGGTCAACGCTTAAAATTAGTTCATAAAATTGGGTAGTAAACCCTTAACAAAATAACTTTTCATACCTGAGTTTCTCTGTAAAATCACAGTGAACGCATAGACGAAATCGTTTTGTGAGAGAAATCTGTGTTGTTTGTTGATAAACACCAGCATAGGAAATATTGTTTCTCGCTAACTTTTTTTGGTTCCTTTTTGATCTTATCCTTTTAAGTGCCGCCCATAATATTATATATTGGCGGATTCTTTTTTTTCCGCTCTATCGAAAGTGTTTAATGCCGTTAATGAAACTAAATCATTTCAAATTTTTCCGTCACCAGAAGCTGTCTGTAACCGCCGAACTTTCAACATTATCTCAACCTCTATCAAATTAAAAAGCGCTAAGCGCTTAATATTTGTCCAAAAGATATTAATCTTGAAAGTTTCACTTTTCTCGCTGATGAATTTAGAATTTTCAATTCAAACTTATCTTCACCTGCCAACGTGTCGAATTCTTTATATTTCAAATGTTCTTAAGCGTGTCATAGGAAAAGAAAATCTTTTATCATTGCGGAATTGATATGTGTGTTATTTATTTTGTTTTGACTTCTGATCTGATTGTGTTGATGATTTCGAGTGCAGTTTATTTCAAAACAGCTACAGTGTCCTCGAATGCATCTTATTATCCCATGCTGTGTAATACAAATACAGTGGATTCTTCAATTTTAATTTTAGAAGGAACCCATTACCTTAATTGCTTGGAGGTAACCCTCGTTTTACCTCGCTTTTGAAAGCTTACTAAACGTAATAAAAAGACCCCATTGATTTTTCAGATTTCAAAACATTACCCCTATCGGGTCATAATCATGTCGATGTTCCAGTGTTATGAGTAATTATTGTAAATATAAGCTTCTAGAAAACTCTAGACTGCTGAGTCATGCCGACTTGCACACCATAAAACTTTCCAGAACATTTCATCAAGTCACGCATTTATTATGTAATACTACTAACATAGTTCTTATGTAAGCTTCTGGAATGTTCCAGAACACTTTGTGAATACATACATACATACATACATACATACATACATATATATATATATATATAAAGACTCACCTATGTAGTAGTAAGTAGTTGTTGTTGTCAGAGCGATGACTGTTTAGAAAGCCTTATCGAGAGAGAGCTACTGCAGAATATTGCTCATTTCAAAGAACTTCGGAGAGAGAAGTGAGATTGTGTCAGTAGTGAGCTAGGATATAGACTGCGGTGGGGTTAATTAAGTTTCTTAACTATAAGTATTGTATTGCTTTTAGAAGTCGCTCCTTGCTAAGAACATTATTCGCTGTTTAATAAAGTAGCTGAGTGTGTGGGATTGCAGTGTTTTTCTGTCGGTTAGATTATACCGTAGCATCAGATATTGTGAAAGCAAAAGGAAAAACCAGAATATGAAGGTGAAAGACATGAGAGGAAGGAACGCCTGAGCCCGCGACTTTCTTTTGTAGCAGCCAAGCAGTCTACAAATCTTGTAGAAATAAAATAAAGTAATCGTGGTCCTAAAAATTTGTGTCAGCGTGAACATTAAGAGCAAATTTCACATTGAAAAGCTACATTCATTTTCAAAATCAGATACAGGTCCACAGAAGATCGATACCACCCATCAGTCAGTCAATAAATTTACGTACTACTCTCACCAGATCTACAATGAACTGCTCTGATTTGGCAATTTTAAAAATAGATAAAATAGGATGGTTTTTTTATGCTTACGATCTTGATAACCTTTTCATAAGCTCTTGGCCGAATATGATCTCCGACATGTATTTCAAATCCTTCATGTGGTTATCCCTTAAGTTAATGTAAATATGTTTGCAATTCCTTTCTCAAATTCACATGATACATCCACTGGATGGGATACGACACTAACAAGCAGATCTGAGCAGCTTAAATATGTTCCTGTTTACGCTTTACCAAATAAGGGCCTTTTTCTTGAACTATCTGTTATGACATTGACGAAAAATCAAATTTCTACAGCTGGAGGAGTATTTTCTATAAACACCGCTATCTGCAACAATTCATAATAAACTTGGTCAAGATTAAACCGTTTACCGCGTTTGCTTTTACACTAGAGGTTTCTCGGGTTTCGTAATAACTATTTGAATTTGCATTTTAATAATGAACGTGCGTGGACTAACAGAATATGTGAATAAACTCAACTTGTTAAAATACAGAATAAAAATATTTCATCTTGTAACTTTGGTCTTTTTTGACCATCCCTCCCGCTCTGAAGTCATTTCAAAGCTGCATTGTCGGGTTAAGGTTCTGAGTTATTTCTAAAAAAAAATTTTTACAGTACAGCCGGTTCGAGCCGCCCGACTAACATGGAAACACCAAACATTAAATTCTTTGTAAGAAACCAAAGAAATAAAACAACAACAACGACGACATATCTTCATCTGTGTTTTACTATACCTTCAGATGGAGTCAGAATAAATGCAAATACATCTAGCTTATTTTAGGTCATCAGTTGTTTACAGCGTATAATTCAAGTCCACCAAAAATTTCCGTGCAAAACTCGATTCAATCTTACATTAACGCACTAAGGCCTGATGGCCGGTGTCTCGAGCTTCGTTATGGAAATCCCTGTTTCTTCAAAGTTCAGTCTTAACTAACAATATAAGACAAGTAAATTTTTTAAAGAAAAAATTTGCTTGCTTAAAATCTAGCTTGAAGCTTAAGTATTTGTTTCCCATGGAAAGGCCAGGATCCAAATTTCAGAGCCATGGGGAACCATTGACATAAATAGGAAAACTTACCGTAGATAATGTACAGAATTATACAATCAGCAGGCATGATTAAAAACGACAACCTAATAGTAATGAATGGACACAATGATAAAAAATGATAACATTAAACCAGCAATTCAGGATTTCTGTCTTCTGCATCGACCGATGGCTGTCCTGACAGAGCAGGGAGATGAATGTGGCCACTGTCAGCTTTGTCTCCAAACGAAACTGTGAAGTCCTCTGATCCATTTGAACTTTCATAGCCAGCATTCTCTTCATCGCTGGTAGGCGATACGTGGCGAGGGGCATGCTACAAAAGTGTGCAGTAATGACAATCTTTGCTTTTTCTCAAAAATCAAATGGCTTCAGTTTCGGTGAAAAAAGGGAAAATGATTCAAGACGCTAATCCACTTCGTTATTAATCTAATTGACAAATTAGACTCGAATAGCCTTGCGGATATAAGACCGTTGTTCGCAATTCTTTTCACGGCTACTGACCGCTAACATAAGAGTCCTTCGGTCTTTCCACCATCAATTATTTCTGTAGTTGGTTCTGTCATGAACTAGCTACCTGTTGCATAACAACAACGAACACCTACCGACTGATCTGGAGAAAAATCCGTCTGAGACAGCAATTGGTCAGCAGCGTCTCCACTAAAAGTCCCGTCGCTGAAAGCTATTAGGTTTCCAACAGTGTCTGTAATAGAAATTACATCATGACTGATCAAGAACGAAAGTCCACGTCCCTGGTTTTATAGCTATCAGAGTACATGGTTCCCTGGAGTGGGGAGTAATCTCTTCATTTGCGTGAACCGAAAGAATCTGCCAAACGGAAGATGACATTTTGGGTATGGCCTCTTGGAAGGTTATAAATTGTCTCTATTTTCACTCCTGATGCTTTTGAGAACTAAATGCCTAAACCCTTTCACACCCAAGATCCCACCGGAAAGTCTCCTTATTGTCTGCAACGTAATTCTTATGATTTTAGTTCGGAGAATTTAGTATTGAATTAACAAATTACTTGATACTTTTCTTTATCCCATCACTTATCTGTATGGTATTACGCTGACATTAATTGTAAGTAGAAATTCTGTCTTGCTCACTCATACAGGATGTGGACTTAGCGATGTGCGGTCCACATGAATGATACTAACGATTGCTGTTAAATTTTATTCCCAAAGTTACGACTCGATTTGTTAAACGGTGCTACCGAGGTTCGATCTGTTACAATTTATGCAGCTTGTTTCTCTAATAAAAAGGCAAGAAAATGAACAGATATTTTCTCAAACACGAGGTTCTGGGTTTGAGAGCGTTTACAGCTGCCTGCGTTCAAACTCCTCATGGGACCCCTGGGGATACCTGTCTTGCTATGGCTCTTACCTAGACCTGCTGTCGGAGGCAGAGAAAAATCGTGGGACGGATCTACATTTACATAGGGTTTTTCTTCTTTTTGCATGTCAAATAACTGCTCTTTCAAGCTCTGAAAAGAAGGCCGGTCTCCACATTCATGTGACCAACAGCCGAGCATGATCTGGTAGCTAAAAATCAAAACAATACGAGAAAATAGTGTGATCGCTTGAAATTCAAACCCAGAAAATTCACATGCATACATTGCATTCACATAGCAAAACGTAAGTCGGGCGAATCTGAAAATTTTGATGGGGGGGAGGGGAGGTACAGACTTAAATTCAGAAAACACAGAATTGTTTTTACCTAAGAGCATCAATAGCTTTAGAAATATCTCATGATCAGTATATTTTGAATACTTTAACATGAGTGTTAATATGCGATCCTGTCGATGAAAGAGTTTTGGTTTCAGACTAGTTGTAGAAATACCTACATGCCTAATGGGGGGAGGAGGAGCCTGGGGCCTGGATCCCCAGACCCCAGGACTATTGTCGGTGACATGGATTAAAATTTCAACACTGGTCAATTTTGTTGCGATGGCAGAAGAACACGTATGTCTAAAGAAGAATCTTACATTTCATCTGTGCAATTTGTCGGTTTCTCCATCCTCTCCCCCTCCAAGAGGAACCCTAAAAGGTCTCTGTCGTTTATCGTTGGGTATGGAAAACCACCTAAAAGTACATGCAAAACAGATAGAACAAGGGTCAGTGAGATTATCTGTCTGCAATAATGCGCAGGAAATTGTACAACAGCATCTTCCACAAAATCCCAGCAAGTAAGACACAACTATGACACAAATACAACTCAATCTTAGAGTAAAGCTTACCCAGGGTGCAAATTTCCCACAGTACAATCCCGAATGCCCATCTGCATGAAAAAAAAGGAGATCATGATTCATAAGATGACAGTGAAGGAAAAAATTTTGGAATATATGTAAGACCAGGTGCCAAAGGTCTTGGAAATAATCTAAAAAGTCGTATTTGATGTCCTGTGCTACTTACATATCGCTTTCAGTGGAGTAAATGCGGTCACGCATGGCTTCTATCGACAGCCACCTTAGAGGAATTTTACCAGTGCTCCTCTTCACATAAATCCCTTCCCTTGACAGACCAAAGTCAGAGATTTTTAGCACTTTGTCGTCACCAACCAGAATATTTCTCGCTGCCAAATCTCGGTGCACTATTCCTCTTCCAGATAGATACGCCTTCAATCACAAAAGATAGCAAAATTGTTCTTCGGTCAGCGGGATGATTACAATGGAAGGCAATACTTGGATACCTAACAATACGCATGAAAAATTACGCGATTCCAATTGGCTAAAAGCCGGTGCTATTTTTAATGTAAGACGAGTGCAAAGTTCTAATACGAGCGCAAATTACAAATTGCGCGTACAGTTAAAATTTTGTTTATCTTGACTTGCTGTGATTCATTTTTTCATGTAAATGTTTACCCATAATTTACTCGTGCTGATTTATACCAAATTGCACTCGAAATCATGTGATTACCTCTACAAAGCGGTCAAATACGCGCAAGGGGCTCAAGTTTGGCCAGCCGCGCAAATTGTCATAGGAAAGCATCAAAAAAAACGATGGCTGTCACGAAAATCATGTGTGAAACAATTGAAATGCTCGAGCTCATGAAAATTCAGAAAAGGAAACAAAAGTAGGCAGATCAAGGGAAACTTGAGACTTTTCGAACTCGGAGCTTATGAAACTACAGGTATCCCGTTGATTTAACAATTTGTTTTGAGCTTTACCGAAAAAGGTTACACGGTTAAACTGAACACTATGACTAACCGACTTGTGTGATAACTTGAAACTCTTGTAAGAAAATTCGTCAAGACTACCTGAAAGCATGTTTCCGAGTTATTACAACGTTCGCGTATACGCAGAAGTCGACCGTTGTGTCTACTTAGACTAAAAATAAATCTACTTACCATTCCATTGGCAATCTGATAAGCGAAGGACTGGAGATCACCAGAGTCCAAAGCACCATCGAGACTCATGGCAGAAGCAGCTTTAGCTCTAGAAGCTTCTTTAGAGTCTATTGCTAAAAAATGTCAATTAAGATCGAGTAATTCAGTGGCAAATATAGCCAATATCGCAGACCTTCATTCAAAAGCGCAAACTAGATCTGCTCTTGCTCCTCATGAGACACTCTTTATTCGCGCAAGGTTTTTTTTATAAGAATTCCAATATTCCTGAACTTCAAACCAAACTCCAAATGCAATGAAAATTGAACATTGTTCACTGACTTGATTTACGATTTCCCCCTCAACATAGCAAGGATTGAAATAATACAATAATGCAAATATGCGTGATGTCAAAGGTGTAAAAGTTGCAAGTAGCAGAAGCAATCGAATTATATTGCAAGTGGCATTAGTTATCATATTGCAGTGTAAGTGGTTAAAGTGTCAGCATTGTAAGCATCATAAGCTTTTATTGTACTGTAATATTATTAATAGCGTAAGTGATCGTATTGTAAGTAATGTATGCACTGTATTGAAAGTAATACATGTAGTGTAAAAGTATTGTTTGATCGTGCGGGTGAATGTAGTCTTGAGAAGGATTGTTTTCGGTAGTGGTGACTGACGTTTCGACAACCTGAGTGGAAGTCATCATCAGAGTCAAGTGAATGGTTTTTGTCATTCGAATGTTCTAAGTCCGGTTTGTATAAACTGATTGGTCAGTTTTGCCGTGATCGATGTTATTGGTTGTTAGACTCAAGTGGCGTAGGTTGGTCGATCCATGAGTAACTTTGGGTCGTTCTGTTCGATTCGTTTATAATGTTAATGTCGTGGATGAGTCGTTTTTTGGTGCCGGTAGTGGTTGACACCTGTTGAGGGGAGTCTGTTCTAAGTCAGTAAGCCAGCTTTCTAGAGTCAGTCGTTGAAAGTAGTTGGTGCTGTAGGTTAGGCGTTTTACAGAGTCCCAATCAATAGTGTGGTTCGTAAGTCGGTGTTGTTCAGCAATGTGACTGTTGACATCGCCTTTCCTCGTCGCTCGTTTGTGTTCAGTCAGTCTAGTTGTGAAGTTTCCGCCAGTCTCATCAATTTAGGAGGCGTGACAGTCGGAGCAATTGATCTTATGAACTGCTCCCTGTCTGTTCCTCGGTTCGTCTTTGTCTTTGACGTTAGTCAGTAACTAACGTAGTGTAGTAATGGGTTTGTGAGCGACGTGAATATTGAAGGGTTGTAGGATGCGCGAGATGCTCTCAGGTGTGCCCTTTATGTATGGTTATATAGTTGCTGTGGTCGTAGGAGTTGTGTTGTCGTTAGCTTCGGTAGTAGTAGGTCGGTGAGTGTTTCGTCGGATGAACTCTTCTTTGTAGATGTTCTTTGGAAAAACACGGTCAAGGTACTAATTCTCAATAATTAGTATAAGTCTTAATATTTTAAGTGGCGGAATTAATCATACCGAATGAAAATGGTCAACATCTTTGAGATTAACAAGAAAGTTGTTTCCCTACCCACTGTTGTTGTTTCTGTGTTGTTTGATGCATCTGTAGGGCCTCTAGCTACGTAATGTGCCGAAGGGATTTCTGAGGCCCTCCTGACAGTGTTCAGAACAGACAGAGCTCTTAAGCTCTTCAAGCTTGTTGATCTGTTGAACTCGGGCTTCTCGCTTGAGTCAAGAGACTTTTTCTGAAGGCAGATATTCCATAAGAGAAAGAAAAAAAAGGAATGATTTTTTTTTGCATTTTTCTTGATTAACGTATTTCTTTCACCCACACTTGTTTTAGATTTAGCAAAACGAAACCTTTTTTAATGCAGCTGGTTTTAGGAGTTAATGAGGAGGCAGGTATGGCAATCAAAACAATTTATTGGTGATTTGATTATCATTTTAAGTTTAAAATGGTGCATGAGTGTCCATAACAATACATTATAAGACATCCAGTAACTGAAATTAAACATTTGTGACCTTTCAGATGAGGAGGTATTAAGAGAATACTGGTGAACCTCAATATTAGGGCTAAGAAGTTTACTAAAAGAACTAAAGCGTTCAGATTTGTACCAGACAAATAAAACGCGAGGGGGGGGGAGGGGAGGGGGGATGAGGAGTCATTTACCAGTAGTTTATTTATAAAATGATTTAATGGGGTTTAATTTTTTATGATTTATCTACGCAGTTCATGAGAACTACTTGAGAAGTTTAAAACAGGCTTATTCTTACGATCCAGTTGGCGATTGTGAGTTGTTTACCCTCTGATTTGCAGTGTCTAAGAGGCGGACGATGAATATTTGACTTGGATGAACATGGTTGGTTGTCTTGTGGCTGTGATGTTTGATTGAACTCGAGTTGGGACGCTGCCAACTCTAAAGCCGAAATGGCCTGGAAACGACATTATTAAAATGCTTATTTTACTCGTAGTTTAAACTTAAATGTCGCAGTCCAGAAGAAATATGTAAGTTGTCAGTCTCAAGTTAAGTGTTGCTATGAGGTTAAGAAAAGTTTAAATTAATAACATTTTATGGTCATAAAACATTGCTATCCTTTACCACAGGTTTCAGGTGGATGTTGTTTTACAGCATTCTACGAACAAATCCAATCATTGCTTTTAATGGAAGTTGGCGTGTTAAATGTTTTAATTCATCAATTAGCACATGCGCTTAGGCACAACGACAAAATTTATTTCCTGTGGTAAGTGCCATGAGATATGTTTGAGGCGTTTGGATCTGAGCAGGTGAACTAGTTCGAGTACATTAAATCAAAGCTTGCTGGGTTTTGCAGTTGACAGTAAACAGTGGTGCCCAGGACTTACCGTGTCACTAGCTGAAGGTATCAGGGGACGATGGGAGTAGCTGCCTGCGGCGGACTCTGAACTGTTCGGGGAAGTTTGTGACGTGCTTAGTTTCTCTTCGTTTTTGAGACCTTTTCCATTATCTCCTTGTAGCTTTCGATACTGTTGCTCGAACTAAAAATTGGAATAAACTTATCAAAAGAGAACCAAGAAGTATCTCACAATAAGACGGCAACAGCTGCAGTTGTAAATAATGTGAGCTGTCGTAGGTTAGTCAAGGGGCATTTTATTCTTTCTCACTAGAAATCACATGCCTTCTAAAAGTCAGGGGTAAGTGAAAAGAAACTGAAAAAAACACAAGGCCGATATCCATCCGTCTTGACCGAGCAGGCGTGGTTGATAAAGGAATGAGAATTTTCTGTGTGTTGCATATTGCGGTATAGCCCATGAAACCTAGCGAGTCAAAGTCGTCAAAAGGGGAATATCAAGACCAATAAATATGAACCAACTTGACCGAGAAGAGATGGTCAATTGAGGTTTATTACATGGCCAAAAGACCTCCTGTATCTCGCTGATTGTCGATCAACAAAAGACTCAAAAAAGTACATATTCTTTTCTCGTTGCTGTACTTTTTGTTTCAAGAAAATGGCTGATTTAAGTTCTGGTTACCGTTTTTCTGAGGTCTCTCAAATAATGTAGCAGATCCCCATGTGGAACACATTCAACCACGAGACACAAAGGAGGGTAAAGAGTGCAGCATCCTAACATGGTTACTACGTTTTCATGATGACCAATCGTCTTCATAAAATTGATTTCCATCTTAAAATCCTCCACTTCATCTTCATTAGCTTTGTCTGTTGAAGGAGATAAAAAAAAGCAGGTAAAAAAAAGGAAGACAACAAAATTAGTGTTGGTGTTTTATTTATGAAATTTGTATGAAATAGTAAAGGACTTTCTTTTGTTTTTGTTTTCATGAGTTTTGCTTGGTCTCAATTGTAATGATGCACTGGTATTTTAGTGATCGTGGACTTAATCTCAGCTCTGGTCAAATTATAAGTACATTGCATCGTTTCTCAGTTGAATATATTATATTTTTCACTGATCATAAGTAAAACCGTTCTACTTTGACTAACCGTTAAGTACTTTGACGGCGACCACACTTGTGTTTTCACTTCCTCCAATGCCATACGCTTCCGCTAGGAAAACTTTTCCAAAGGCTCCTTTACCAAGGACACGTTTAAGCTCCAACCGATGAAAACCAAACTCAAACTCGTCCGCCTCACCAGTCTCCACCGCTTCTTGAATACGCTGCTCCACGTAGGCTGGGTTCAATTCCAGTCCTCCTTCGGACTTAGATGGTAAGTTGACAACAAGGTCGAAACTAAAATAATAATCCAGAGGTCTCATTTTAAGTTAATTAAACATGTATTTAAGCATACAAATAAAGATCAGTCATATGTTTTTCTTCAATACATGCATCTACCAGCCGTTATCCGAATCGTTCATTCTGTTGTGATATACGCAAGACCACTAAATCCTTTCACTCCCAAGATCCTATTAGTAATTCTCCTTACTGTCTGCCAAACAATCCTTTTTATTTACTGCGGAGAATTTGGTATTTGATCAACTGGTTACTCCCTTATTGATGTTTTTCGTTATTTTTATCACTTTTCCGCTTGAAGAATTCTGCCTTGGTCATTGATGGGAGTGAAGGATTGACAATTAAATGGCATTATTAGCCTCCAGTCATTTCTCCTTCCATAGAAGAGCGATCCAAACATCCATGAAAACAATTCTAAGCTCTCTCATTTTTAAGATGAAAAGAGCTGAAAAGTATCTTTTATTTCACCTGCCGTTATCATACGGACTTGACGGAACATCGCCAACTTTCCTTCGTGGACTGACTCTGTCGTCGGAGGGACTCGCGAGGCGTCGTAGTCCCATATGCTCCTTGAAGGGTTTCTTATTTTTACGGTAGAAGCAAAACATCGCAAGTAATAATACCACCACCGCTAACAGGATGATAGGCACCGTGATGGCAGCTACTGTTCCTGGAGACGTTCTTTGTGCTGCAGTTGTGGAGACTGTACGGAGAAATATTTAGAAAAAAAAAAAACCAATCATCGCATTGTCAAAAGTTATGAAGTGAAACTTTTTTTGGTGTAATTGGCTAAAAGTTTTACGTTGGCATGGATATTTTTAGTTTAAACATCGACGCTACGTAAACAGAGCTGATCCTGTTCGTCATGAAAGCTTGATCAAGTTTTTAGCTGAGTGAGGAGTAACTAGGGGTCTGGGTTTACAAACAGAGATCAGCAATACAGTTGAATCTGTAGTTTTTCAATCAAGTTTAAGAGTCCATATTTAATCTATAAGATGCATTTATTATGGCACTTTCATAACTCAGTGCTTCAAATGCTTTAATCAAAATGGTAAAGACTTACCTTCTTCTGTACTCTCACTTGTCGTGGGGGTGGCGCTTGTCGTGGGCTTTGTGGTCGCCTCCGTCGTTGGAGCCATTGTCGGTATAACAGCTGCACGTTAAGACGAGATATTTATTTCAGAAGAATTTGCACGCTTAGCTTGTAGTTTATACCCTCAGGCTCTCATTTGTGCTGTCGTGCGATCGAAGCTTCAAGAAATCTGCCAGCTCGTCTCCGCAGTGCCAGAGAGCCTGCTATCAGGCTAACCATACAATAGCGAACATTACCTCATTTCTAACCCTTTAACTCCCAAGATCTCATTGGTAATTCTCCCTACTGTCTGCCATAAAATACGTATGATCTCAATTTGGAGAATTTGGTATTAGATCAACTTGTAGTCCCCTTATTGAATTTTCTTCTTAATTCTCCTCAAAAGTCTGATTGATTCTGTGTTGATATTCTAAGGAGAAATTCTGTCTTGGTCACTCAAGGTAGTCAAAAGGTTAAAGGTAATCTTTCGGCGCTTGTGGCCCCCACTACAGATTTTGCCATTTCTGAATCAGGTTTATAGCTGTATGCTGGTCGAGTCGATATTGCAGACTACTTAGAAAGAAAAAAGAAAAAGGATGGAGAGAGACGGTGCAAGAAATATGGAGAAATAGTTGGGTGGTGTGAGGGGGTGGTGGTGGCGGTGTGGTTTGAAGAATTTGAGTTGGGGGGAGGATCACATGGTTTTCGGGAGGAACCGAAGGGGATCAGTCATTGCTAACAGAGTATGAAGGGGGCGACTTTTGGAAATTGACCGCCAACTGACTTCTAATAAGGGGGGGGGGGGGGGGAAAGGGGTTCATAAGAATATAACAGAACCTTATGGGAAGGGGAATCAGGGACATTTTGTCACGAAACAATCAAAAACCTCCAACCTCCCAACCTCCCCCCATCCCAGGCACTAAATATCGACCGGTTTCTTATGGAGGAAGGCAAACATACAAAGATATTTTAGCGTTTAACTTTACCACGGAATTTTTTCCCTGCTACTGTTTCGAACCGGCAGCCACTACTGTCAAATGCATAAACCTAAACAGTGGACAAAGAAACAAATATAATTGAGGTTCTCAATGAAATGATGGCTTTTACGGGCTAACGGCTAAAATTTTGGGCCAATTCACGGCTGACGGTTACTTTCTTTCGCTCTCTTCGACAGGAAAAGGTTTACGGTTAACTTTTTTTACGACTCACGATTAAATTTTTCCAATTTGACGCTCAACAGCTAAATTTTTCTATCTTTTAAGGCTAACTGTTGAGCCCATTTAGACCCCAATGATTGGTGTTGACTCATTAGGGTTTTATCAACAGAAGTTAACTTAGAACCAACTTACATATCATAATGAAGTACCACTCAGTAACCCTCATCAGATTCCCCACTCACCAGGGTTTCATTCCAAGGCAGAAAAATAGAGACGCAAAAGTGTCACGGTAATACTTACAAGAGCACGATATTCTACGCCGTTGGTCAAGTTGAAGTACGAGAAATTGTACGTGTTATTCTGAAGAAAAATGACAATAAAACCTATCATAGATCTCACCTAAATCATAGAACTCATTTTGCAATGTCTTTTGTATCCGAGCAACATGATTACGCCACTTGCAGCACCAAAATCATATAGAGCGTGCTTTTCATGAGTTGCATTTCTCAGTATTAATTACTGCCTTACTTTGACCTGATTCTATCTACTGTCTGCTGTTTATAGTATGATTCCCCTTTTCCTCTCTTATACAAGTACCGTTTTGAATATAATATTGAGATATTCTGCCTTTGTTATAATCATTAAAACGGTTTGTAATCGTTGAAACGGAGGGGAAAAATCGAAGAAAAATAAAAATTAAAGAAAAAAGTTCATGGATTTCGAACGAAATATAAAATAACTTAGTGACTCCTCCGCCAAAGTTTAAATGAGTGTGTATGTGTAATATATCAAACAATGGTTTTGTTTGCAATTGGGTGTTGCTTATCTTACCGTTCCGTTTAAGCTTGCATTGACAATGTCTCTATGATGTCCTGTTATTGGAGAGCAGTGTGGGAGACATTCTAACAAAAAAACCCTTAAAGAAGTAAGCAATCATGTAGTCAATAAAAAGAAAGAGGAAAGAAACAGTCCTCAATTATTCACAGTATTAAATTACTATTAGTGGTGGAATCTTTTGTAAGTTTAGGGACGGTATTTGATTTCTCCTGTGTGTAATCAATTGAAACGATTTAAAGGCGAAATCGAAACATTGTGTAAATTGTTTTTTCAAAGTCTAATATATTTCGAACGAGCTTCATTTCAAAGATCTCCATTCTCTTGCATGTACTGTAAACTTATCAGCTAAGAGAGCATCAAATGAGTTGTTCTGAATTTTTATTGGTGCACGTGCATGGCGTATTTCTGCGGATTACCTACCTGCCTTAACACTGAGAAACAAACTCATTAAAATAGCCAACGTTTGGTTATCTAAAGAACACCATTGTCCACATAACTACAGATAATTACAGAGCTGTCATACTTGTTCACACTTATTACACTTGTTTATGTATTTCAGGAAACATACCTGAGAAAAAATATATTTTTCAATACAGTGTACGCTAAAGTCGACTTACTTAAAATACGCAGGTTTCTTTTCCCAGATTTCAGTGCTCCAAGTCACATGAGCAGTTGTTCTGTTTGTGTATAGTTTGTCCTCGAGTTGGTCGACACGAATGTAATCTGATTCTTTAAATTTGGAGGGGGGATCTAGTAAATCAAGACCATTGATTAATTTTTAAAATACACAACATTCGATAAACTGAAGCAATTTTGGTTCCTCAAAATATCCTGAATCAATGCCATTGTCCAGCGTGGAAAGAGTTTGTAACAATGATAGTTTTTTTTCGCGGTGAGTGCTATAATGATACAAAAATAAAGATTATGATAATGAAACTTTCGAGGTTGATCGTGAAATTTCGACAGCATACTACGAATATTCTTCAGGTTATGAGGTCGGCTAGAAACGCTTCACCCTATGAAGCGTTATGCTGCACTCTGATTGGCTGTTTTCGTTACCTTTTTCAGACAGAGCCTCCGGCAAAGTTTGAAATAATTGAAGAAGTTACAAGTAATTACATGAAGGTAGAGAATGACGTGAAGATAGAAAATGAAGTGTTATTATTATTATTATTATTATTTGATATATTGGATAATACTTACTTTCACAAAAACAAAATCCATGAATACAGTCTGTAAAGAAATGCAGTCGTGAATGTTGAGTCAAAACATTTGAAATAAAGTTTAATCAGTAATCAGTTTTCGTTAACCAGTCACAATTTATCGTCTGAGGGAGCGGGAGGAGAGGATTTTGGGAGATCACATGGTTTTAGTGGCAAAAGAGGGAGATCAGCTGACGCTAACGGAGTTTAAAGGGGGGGGCGACAGAAAATTGGCTGCCAATCAACTGTCAGTGAGTGGGGGAGGGGTAGGGGGGGGAATCATAAGTACATTACGGAACCTTATTGGGGATCAGGTACATGTTATCGTGACACAACGAAAATCCTCTGACACCCCTCTCCTACAAGGGGATGAATAATGACTTGCTCCTTACGCAGCAATGAAAAATTAACACCACGCTTTAACTCATAAGGGATTAGTCCTTAGTATTGTTTGGCGAAAGTTGCTCCGATAGAAGCGCGCGCGCAAATACCAAATAGCTTTAGGTATTCCTTGGTTTCGAATGTCTCGTAACACTGACGCAAGTCGTTTGATATGAGGCAGGGAGCGCATACAAATAAATTCTCTTTCCTTCAGGATAAACATCCAATAACGGTAAACAACCCATAAGACCAAAGGTAACGTTCATCAGCCGTCAGTTCTTTATAGTTCCCCCTTTATAGTTTGTTGGCAACGACTTACACCCCTCCGTACCCCCCTGAAAACCATGTGATTCCCTCCCCAAAGTCCTCTGACTCCCCCACACGATACAAAGAGTTCTTTTGTACCAGTCTCTGTGGGACCAAATACCTGCATATGAGACTTTGCGCTTTTCTCCGTTCCCTTGAGAAAGGAGAACGGAGGTAAGAGATGGGTAAAATGAAGGAGGACGAGCTCAGACAGTTTTTCTGACATGATCTAAAGAATATCCCACACCAGTCGACTTCAATCAAAATTCATTGGTAAATTTAAAAAATTCTGACCTTTGTTGATTCATTTTGAGTTGTTTTTTCGATGAAAATAAAACTTGAAGATAGGCATACCTGGAATGTCGAAAGTTGCCGACGTTAAATACCCATCTTGAGAGAAAGTCGTTATCTGCAAACCACGGAGAAAATATGTATATCATGCAAGGCTTAGTATCACTCATTTGTTTCACTGTAGACACAGTAGACAAGATAACAACAAAATTACTGACCTTAAAAACATAACTACATCCAAAATAAAACTGTTCGTTCTGTAACACGAAAACGTCATTTGTAACCTGCCGGTGAAGAGATCAAAATTCCCCATTAATTGCTTCATTGCATAATTTGAATCGGTAACAATGCTTCCTGCTCTTGATTTACAAGGTCCATTCTTTCAAAAACCGTACAACAGTAGCCACCCATAGAGGGTCTCAATGGGTTAAACCGTTGGCAGCTAAGCATAAAAAGAGTTAACCGCAAAAGATGTTTCTTTTGATAACAATGGAAAGAAATTAAGCGTAAGCTTTAAAAGGCCAAAACTTTAACCGTTAGCCGAAAAAGCGATCACCCCCTTAAGACCCTCACCATAATGAAACTCATGAGAGTTAACTAATTATTCCATATATGCTTCAAAGAACGGTAGTACATTCTCGTACTGGGAATAATTCAAACGTTGTTTTGTCGAGCGAGTGCTCAGTTTTTTCGTGGTGAAAATTTTAGCTGTCATTTTTCATTTTTATAGCCGCAGAAGGCAAGGGAAAGAGAGAAATCTTTTCTAAGAGGGTGAGTGATGGTCAAAAGGACGGAGAGAGGAGGAGGTGGGGCAAGAGACAATACTCTTTGATCTTGATTTATTTTATATTTACGTCATGTTTGATGATCAAATGTATATATATTATTATCATTCATTTGGGGGGGGGGGGTTCCTATGCATCTGCGATAATCTATAATATATTCATTAGATCAGCGATGAGTACAATTACCGGATCTTGAGGCATCGGTTCGTGGAAATCGAATTGTAGAAAACTATCTTTAGAGCAATGCTCGCGAGAAGATGATGATTTTACGACTTCAACTTGTAATTCTTTAAATCTCTTGTCGAGAAGGTCGTGAAGGGCTGAAAAGAAGTGAGAAGAGATGTGATGCAATATATCATGACAAGCTATGACAGTGTGACCGTTTCGATGTCAAACGAGCCTCAGGTCTTTACACCTTAAGTGCTAATAAAAATGAGAAATTGACTGATCCATGGAATGGACGAACAACGCCTCAAAAAAATAATAATAAAAAGAAGAAAAAACACACACAAAAAACAGACAGTAATGGTACGTGGTACGACATAATGCAATCATAGCTCAAGTCCAACATTATTTGTCTCTTATGATCATGTCGAGACGTAATGCATTATAATATAATCTGATACAACACGTTATGTTCTAAGCTATATAACCTTCTCTAATGTCAACGTGAAATATTAAACTTGCCCCTCGGTATATAATTTTTTTAGTTACTTTTTTGAACTTACCACGTGGGAACTCCCAGTACAAAGAGGTGAACACTTTTGGTCTTTCAAATGGGATCGGTACCACCGTAAAGTTAAGGCGAACATTGAACATCCTGCATGGATAAAACTGAGTGGTATTTCCATGGGAAGATCTCTTCAGTTTTGGACAGGAGCCTGGGTGGACAATGGACAGCAACAAAAATTCGTTTTATGGTGCATCAAGAAATAAATCACTACGTAATTTATTAATTTGTTACATCAACGTGTTCAGTCAAGAGCCTTTGAACCGGCGACACTTTTTGTTTTGTTTTGTTTTTTTGTTTGTTTGTTTTTCTTTTTGCTGCATCCCTTTATTACCTACAAACTTTTCAAGATATAGATTTTACCATACTTAGTCGGTCTTATTGTGAAAAGAAGCAATCACTTGAGCTAAGCTTTAACAAGTTTAGGAAACATGAACAAACCAAACTGATCAACCACCAATGATAATTGATCTATATTTCTCTTTCATTTTTGTCACGTACAATCCATTCTTGTGCGCTCCAACTTTTCCCTTTTGCTTTCAGGGTTTTATGAATCTGAAGTATCGACTAGGATTTAAGATTTTCGACCTACTGTTTGTTTGGTACAGAGGACTTGAAGTCGAGAAATCTGATGTTCCCCAGAATGAAACTGCCGCTAAACGGAACGAGAAGTTAGCTATTTTTGTAACAAATTCTTCTGGGATGGTAAAAGTGGTGTTCGTCGTCTGCAAGATAATTTAAGATTAATAAACATGATTTCGAAAGAAATTTAAAGGTATGAAAACTTTACACGTGCTCGCACTCGAGTTCAAATGATCACCTTTATCTATTCTATTAAAGACCAATATGCGTAACTACTTACCGTATGATATTTCTGTATGTGTGGTAAAATAATAAATGGGTCAGTGATGTTTGTATGACGTGTGACCTCCAGGACGTATACCACAGGTGTGGCATTATACTTGGTGTGACTGTTACTTCTCCAGTCCAGTGTGAAAGTGAAATAACCGGACGAAAGCAAAATGGGAGCATCTGGAACTGGTGGTACTGTTGTGATGTTGCTTGCTTCAAAAGAGTACGGTGAAAAAAAAAACGTTTTAGAGGTATGCAGGACGATTATCGTTTACGACCTAATGTATGGTGTAGCTCGATTGCTATCAATTTCTCTGCATGGCATTTGCAAACCCTTTAACTCCTGGCTGCGATCAACTTGTAACTTCTCCCCAAAACATCCATTCCTTATCCAGCAAACAGGTGATGAAAATATGCAAACCAATCAGGCAGAAGTTGTTATCTTGATCTAAACGAAATTCTTATAGCTAATTTAGAGGGAGATGTATTGCAGCTAGAGAGGAGACTTAACGATCAGATCTTGGGAATTAAAGGGTTAGTGAAGCGGATTTCGCCAGATTTTCAAAACCTTTCGTGACTACATTTCTGTTTTGTTCAATATTCAGACAAATGTTAGACATCTTTCTTACAAAAAAAATTACCAACTTAATAAAAATAAATTTGAAACGTTTCCGGAAGCTGGGCATTCGTCGATGATGCTTCTGTTTTTTCTTTTTTATTTGCATTGCTTGTAGGGAAGGTCAACATTTACATCTTGTTAAGTTTTATTTGGACGTCTACTGCGGTACTACTTGGTTTCCGTCAGTGACATCTGACATTAAAAATATCGAAGAAAAATAAAATCATCATTCATACTTACCCTGGGAAGAATTTACCGGAATCAACTGGGTACACGTTGCACTGCAAAGTTGCTTGTCTGAAATCTTAAAAGAAAGAATTTTAAAAACGTGATTTAACTTCGTTTTTCTTAAGAGCTCAAATTATGGCCTAAAATTCTTGCAAGTGGCAACATTTTTGCAATAACACCTGTTTTCCAAAAACAGACATGCCTTGACGCTTTCACTATCATGGTGTCTGTTTAATGCCATATGAACTGTGTTGTACCTTGAAATTTCTCCGTAAGTTAAAATTGGTTTCAATTTGAAATACGTAAACACAGATGAAGAAATAAGTATTTTAACTTGGCAACAAATTTTGGTACCCTAAAGAAGGTAACGAGGAAAATTGAAAACCGGGAGTAAAAAATGAATTTTTTTGCATACAACCGTGGAACTAAGCAGTCAGATATTGAATGATACCGGCCCGTAATTGATCATCACATGAATTTTTGTGAGCGTGACCGTAGTCTCTGCAAACAAATGTTACTGAGGGAAATGTCAACAAAATTCAAATAACCAATCTCCGGGACAGGCGAAAATGATTTATCATTTCATCTTCTATCCCACTTGTTTACTCAAACAAAAATGAACATCATTCAAGACAATTTTCGATTTCTGTTTCAATAGTGTCCAGAACCAAGAAATAAAAACATTTTAGCAAAATTATTCAGAGCAGCCAGGTACGTTCATTCCCGTCTTTTGTTGTTACTAATTTCTATATGAAATTCATGTTAATGTCACGGCTGTTGGGCATGATTAAGATGCTTTTCTAATTAACTCAAATTCCCGATCAGTCAGAGTTTCTAGGAAATGATAATTTAAGGAAGCTGAGCTTTCCTTTGTCGAGAACCAGAAGTAGCAAATGAACCCGGGAATAAAACTGTCTTATAGTTTTGAAAGGCATGTTCTGTTTGTTTTGTTGATGTGTCTATTCATGAGTCACAATTACGGAATATCAGTCCGAACCGACTTTTTTGTCACTTGGTATTGCTCATAAATTCTCAAAGCTCTGACTTAAAATCGATAACAGTTGTATGTAACGTTTCCACTAAAGATATCGATTTTTTATTACGTTTCCTCTTGCTCTAAATCCTGGGTCACGTTTCAGTCGAACGTGATCAAAGTCACTAATTCCTGTCGCTCTAAAAAACTATAGTTAATTACTCTTAACGTCCGCCAAGTCGATCAGCGTTATGGAAACATCAAACATCAAGATTGTAACTGAGATCGGTAAAATTTCCGCAGTCTCATCCTACATTATGCATTTAGTTATTGAGTAGAGAAAACAGTGACAAAAACAATACATTGCCATTGCGAAAACAGATTTGTTTAGCAATAGTATGGGACTATGCGGAAAATTTTACCCTGAGATTACACACTTTGATCGCTTGCTAACAAGAATGCCGATTGATTAAATATTCAACTTGCTCTCGGAAATATTTCTATGTTCTATGCATATGCAATATGCAGAATTTTGAACATAATGGACGTTCACAATTCAGGAATGACCACACTTGTCGTAACAATGTTGCGATAAGTGCGGAAACAGTTCCTTACCTTTGCAACACAGCTCTTGCAGCATTCCGCTATTCCTAAGCTTTCGCAAGAACCAAAGTTATACCAATGGGCGGTAAAGAGCAACAGGATCACGCTATTTACGGCTGTCATGGCTTCCCTGTATGAGACAAAAACAGAATAAGATTGTTACGAAACAAAAGCGTGAGATTTTTGACGTAGTTTTAACATTATTTACCCAAGAGCTCGAGCGTTTCGACCATGCGTTAAATTAACACTCTCAGCCGTAATATATATTAATCTTACAAGAGCTTGCTATCCTACCGTCAATGAATAACATTTCTTTGACTTGTTTTCAAGTACTCTTATACCTGAGAAGTGATGAATAATAAAAGTATCCGGTAATATTGAGCTTCGACTTGACTTGGTAACCCACAAATGCGTCACAAAATCTGCAAATTCACGTTCGCCTCTGAAAGTTCTTCAATCTTTTGTCGTCTTATTGATAGTGAGATATTACATGCGAAGGTTATTTTGTTCTGTTGTAATAATCATTAACATGCGAGTCACGCTCTAATCAGTACAAAAATAAACTGCAAATTGAAAATTGACCCTAATTTAAAAGGAATGCTATGTTCCACTGAGTCGCAGGAATTTTCGTGCCTCTTAACAGCCTCCCAGCCCCCCCCAGCCCCCCTTCCCCCCCCACACACGCTCTCGACCGCAAAAAAAAAAAAAAAAAAAAAAAAAAAAAAAAAAAAACTGTGAACTCAGCCCATCGCGGAAACGAGCAATTTTCGTGCCGACCAACACAATCAGTAATCTTTCCTTGAAAAAGGAGAGAAATACATATCTGTCAAAGTTTAACACCAAATCTAATCTAAGGTTTTCTGCGGTGAGTTTGAAGAAGTGTAACAAAATAAGAATATCAATGTCATCAATGATATTACTTTCACATGCTTTGCAATATTAAAGTATTGTTCGACAAAAGTTGCTATTAACGGCGGCGACAGTGGTTTAACATCGAATAAAATTGTTCAGCAAAGCTGCCTGACAGCTTGTAGATGCTTCGTAGCTTCTATTTAATAGGCTACTTAAAAAAAAAAAAATAAAACACCAGCTAACGTCACTAAAGGAAAAGATTCCCTTCTAGCTCACACTCAAAGACCGATTTTAAGAAGAGTATATCTTTGCAAATGTAAACATGAAAAAGTTCTTCATACGTTGAACGAAAATTCTGTCGTCTGATTTCCTAATTGCGCGAGAGATGACAGGTTGAATATATCCATTTGAGTGACGCTTTTTTTTAGCAATTGTAAATACTTTGTCGAATGTATGGCTGTCTGGAAAATATTTTGGCAGTTTATCTTGCACAGTGTAATGAAAAGTAAGTCTAGAAATGCTTTATAACCATTTTGCTACGCTGACCTCTCTAAGATTCGTCTCAATGCTGCTTTTTACATATGTGGTTGTCTGATTAAACAATGATTCGCATATGTGAATCTTTGTTTAAGCAGACGAGCGGAACACTCTGGTAATATTAACTAAAATATTTATGTCAAGAATATCAGTGGGCGACCTTTTAGTCCCATCCCCATATTAGCCTTGCGCTGAAAGCCTCTAAATACCCTATTTCGAATTTGCTGTCGCTACTCTACTGTAGAAGAAACAACAATTAAAACCGATTTATAGAACTGGTAACTTTGGTGGTCATAATAGCTACTAAAGACACTGTAAATCTCAACTTAAACAAAGTGTGTCAGCACTACTGCCATACGCTCATTAAATATCCCAAAGATATGCCGGAGCTTACCCATTTAAAATTTTCGCCCGTTAAAACGTGGTGTTTGCTAACCAAGTAAAGTCCGTTCGCTCCCTTACATCTGTATCATATTTTGAAGATATCCGACCCTTTTCAGAAAATATTTGAGTGTTGTGATTGACATATCTGCTACGTCATAGAATAAACCCACGCTTGGTGTTCAATACTTTTAAAATTGTAGTAAAGAAAATGCTTTTTTTACCGGATCCTGAAACAAAACGCCTTCTAAAGCAAATGACCGAGCAGAAAGTGACTTCCTCTTGACGTTTTAGCAAATCACATATTTTTCTCTACGAAATTACGGCTTCAACGCTGATTTTTTTAAATAAATTCTTTGAATTAAATAATCACTTGTTGTAAGGAATGCCGTTTTATTTTGTAATTTAGTATATTCATGTCATTTTAACCTCCAAATCATCTTTAGATATCAAGCGAATGCGATTGGAGGATTTTAATTAATAGTATGATCGAAGAGGCAACAACTTCAGCAGTAGTAAACATGCAATAAGCGCGTTCCGCTCTCTGCTTCACTTCTCTCAGACGCTTCGAGTGTATTAAAAATTTAAAAAGGGGAATTATTTCGGAAAGTATGGGTGTTTGAAATAAATGATCGACCCATCTCTCTTTAGCAGGGCTTATAGGATCTTCTTATTTTTATTTTCAAATTAGAGACACAGGACTCAAACAAAGACCCCATGTATTGACTATCAGATTTGATATATAACTAAAATTCGTTTTTTAGCGCTCGCGTATTCGAACTTTTGTAAAAGTTCTCTTGATTTTTCTATGTGCTTTTTAGGATTTTCTGGTGCAGAATTGTAGAGATCTTTTAATGGGTATGAACTGTTAGCAGAAAATAAGATTATTTTGATTTTATCAACGTAGTTTATAATCTGGCCACCGTAAAGAGTTTCAAAGCTGACTTTTTGAGCGTCATAGCGTTCGTCAGAGCGAATGACGAAGGGCTGACGCTTAAAATGTAAACTTTGAAATTCTTTACAGTGGCCAATTTACATTATCAACTCAGTTGACAAGCCAAAATTATCTTGTTGTTATCCTCCTCCACCGACATAGCACCACAGTTACTTTAGAAACTTATACCCTTTTTGAACACAGAAAAGACAAGACAATTTTTAGTAACACTAAAAATGATGAAAATAAAATATTGGGAAATAAGGAAAACTTTTTTGTTGAGCAAGGTTTAGAGAAGTGAAACACTATACCTCTAAAGCGCTAATCGCCAGAATTAAATCGCCAGAAATGCAAATCCTTAATCGGAAAAATGACATATGACACTAATCTCGCAAAATATAACACGGGGCTCGCCAACTCGCAAGTACTTCTAAGGACTACTCGATACTACAAGAGACTGTCGGCGAATAACTTACCCGTAATCAAGGCTCCAGAAACTATTACCAAACGAACCTTTCATTTTTCTTAAGCTTATCACTCGCCTGGGCTTGTTTCCCAAACTTTAATTTCATATATATTGTTATGAATTGTTAACTGTCTGTAGGATTATTGGCGCCATATGATGCAATTGTAATCTGCACTATCTTCATTTACGTGTCGCATCTATTCTTTATTGACATTTAATCAAACACTAACGCATTTCTCACAAAAATAAAGTTTTGCCATTTAGCAAAAAGAAATAATGATTGGTTTTCTAACGGAGGCGTGAATAATTCATATTTTATTATCTGCGCAACAGGCTTTTAATGCAAGTCTTGATATGTCCGATAGATCACAAAGTCAAGTAAGAAAATCTTTGTTAGTTGCGTGAACTCGTTTGAAACGTCTCGTTCTATTTCATGCACTTAGCCTTCGGTGCTTCAGTTCCACCTGCCGTTAATGTTTCAAGCATCGGGTGTGCACTATAAAATTTAATCACAGTTTGCATTTTTCCAGTGTTAGCCTCTAAACTCTTTACGGTGGCTAATTCACGTTTTCAACTCAGTTGACAACACTAAATTACCCACACGTATTTTTAATCCATAAATTTTATCAATCTAGTTGGCTACAAGAAAGCGGCTAATTCGCCTCTGATAGCACTGTACTTACCTTTTTGCTTCGATAGATAACAAGGTACCGAATAAGTCTTGAAAATTATCTCTGTCATGTTTAAATTCATGCATTTAAAAATGTTCAATCAATAATGATTGACGTACAATCGCTAATTAATGTTTCATTCCGTCAAACTCTTTTGATTCAGACTAGGATGATGGAAGAAGAAGAAGAAAAAAAAAGGTGAGCTCTGAGCCTCAGGTATTGCAGTGGAAATAGGCTAGGGGTAAGGATCGCATTTGTCACAAACTGTTGTGATCAGTTTGCGAAAGAAGTCTAGTCCAGAGGACCAGTCCAGAAGACCAGTCCAGAGGACCAGTCCAGAGGACCAGTCCAGAGATCCAGTCCAGAGGTCCAGTCCAGAGGTTCATTCTAAAGGTTTAGGAGTTTTTTTGACTTGAAGTGCTCCTACTAAGACATCACTAGCTGCATTTCATTTCTGCAAAACGAACATCAAAGCTTCTTTTGTTCAGAAGCTTTCGGGAAAGGCTAGAACCCGATGGAGCCATCAAAAATGTTTACCAGCGAGTAAAAAAAGGAAATTTTGTCTAGATACGAAAAAGATTTTGCAAAGCTGCCGCAATTCATCTTATTTTTTTTAGCACAAAGCGATATGATTATAGACGGATTGATAGTCCATCATACATATACGTGTAGGTAACCCCACTAACTCCAGTATTTCGCAGGTTTCCCTGAAAGTTTACCGGGATTCATTTATAATCCCAGGCCCCACTGGATGAATCTCTATTATATGCGATGGATAGCGCAGTAGGTTTTCTTAACGCTTAGTCGCTGGAAGGTGATTTTATCCGTTGGATAGCGTTATCCGTTCTTCGCACAACTTAACCCAGATTGAAGAGCGATACTATAAGAGATAAGTGTCCTGTCTGAAAGAGCGAAATCGAAAAACGTACTCAATGACCAAACGGCTCAAAACTCGAATATTACAATCCAAAGTCCAAGGCACTAACAATTAAGCACCGTCTGTCCTTGAACAGTCAGGGCAAGGAAACCACTTAAAAGTTAATCTCAAGAATTGTCAAAGCAAGGTCAAAAATTCGATTTTCATGTTTAAAGGGACAAGTCCTATTTTCAAATTGACCAATAATGTGAAAATGTACCTACCACTTTCTCAACACTTACTGTGTTCGCAACAAAAGAGTGACGAAGAAATACACTGTAAGTTGCTATAAAATGCGTTGGAGCGCACAATCCGAAGGTCTGAGGTTCAGCATCTTATATTATGGAGAATTTCTTTCTCTCCAACTTGTGTCAAGTTGAAGGAACATCTTTCTTTACGACTCTATGCGTCCTTGTTGTTACATGATCTTCTTGTTCGTGTTTTGACAAGAAGAACTTTGGTGCGTGCAGTTTAGTTTGCACAGTGTATTCTTATCCTAGCGATCGGTAAACATCAATTGTGAAGCCTATTGAATGTTGACCTTTGCTAAATATTACGGTGACAAAGCTTTCAAAAAGAGGAACAAAAAATATGTCGCCTTTATGGAAGTTTAACATTAATTATTTTCTCGGTTCTTACACAAGGTGAATCTTCTCCAGAAGTTGTACCGTCATTGAGGTTTCACAGTTCTGTTCGAAGGACTTGTTAAGGAAAAATAGAGCTCGGATTTCG